ACCAGAGCCCAGCAGGTCGAGGCTGCGGTGGCCGGGAGTGGCTACTGCACTCCAGTCTGGACGACAGAGTGAGACTCCAACTCAAAAAAAAAAGCCTCCCAAGGCGTGGGATTACAGGCTGAACCACAGAGCCAGACTATATTTTCTAATCTAAAAATATTATTTCTTATTTTCATTCATACATTCAACAAATATTTATTGATCTATGGTACAATAGTGAGATACAATCTTTTTCTCAAAATACTGTTTTCATTGCACTTGACCTTTCAAATACATCACATAGAAGCTGATTCCATGATTATTTCATAAAACATACTATGAAAATAAGAACATATCAGTAGTACTTGAATGTCTGATTTTATTACGGGTCAAGCTATGAACGTCTTTCATTTGGGAGTTGCTAAAGCTCTCCTCTTTTTTGAAAAAATGAGCTAGCTTTCCAGTCATTAATCTGTCCAAGTTGAAGATTTTAAAACATGACCACAGGCCACTTTCAAAATCAGTAATAAAAATAGAATTGATTACCTTCTGCCTTTTAAAAAAGAAATAAATGTGCAGCACTTTTGAAAATTCTAGGTTGGTGTTATTTTTCATCACCAAAGATTTTATTTGACATAAACTTATATCATTAGTATATGTTTCAAAGTGAAATTTAAATACCAACAGGGCAAGATATAGCTAGTAAAGGCCAAGAGGTTAGCTAAATAGAGAAGAAGCAAGAGTTAGAAAATTGTTTAGAACAAGGAATAAAGCAAGCAGAGAAAAAAAAGCAGTTGTTCATGGTGCCTCTGTCTTTAATTACAGCAGCAATAGTAAGTACTTTCTAGCAGCCGTGCACTATTCTAACATACTATACACATTAACTTATTTAATCTTCACAATGACCAGGTGAGGTAGGACTACTATTACCTTATTTTATACGTGACAAAACTCAGGTACTGAGAGGTTAAGTATCTTGTCTAAAGATTCACAGCACCAAGATTCAAACCTCACTTTCTAATGTCAAAGCCTACATCCTATACCACCAATCTAAACTGCATTCTCTATGAATGAGTTCAAGCAGTCCTTTCTTCCAGTATATATCATGTTTGGCAAATATTGAGAGTTCTGTACTACCGAGAGGAAGAATACTTCTTTTTTCCTCACCAGATTACCTATTCCAAGAGAGCCCTGAGATATCCATGTGAGTCTGTAGCTTTCTTTTTGGCTTGGGTAAAATAAGACACTACTTATTATAAAGATGCCCAAGAGGCCTACTTAGATTCAACTTGGAGAAATCTTAAATGGCTCAGGAAAGGGCTGGGACTGAAATTAGATAAGATCACCAACTCAAGTAAGTATTTAATTCTGTATTTATACTCTCATTCAAAGCACAGTCTCAAGATATCCAGTGACTCTATATAAGTACTTGAAAGCAGGAACTATATCTTACTAAAACACATCTCTATATCCAGGTTTTTTTTATATTTATAAAACATAAGTGTTTTATAAATGCTGTAGAACGTCATTGAACCCGATGATTAACGCTTGAATTCCTTGGCCATCATAAGCAAATACTATATATGAAAATATTTTTCTTTCAAAATTGGATGTTATTCATATTTAAGATTTTTTAATCACCTGTAGCAGTGTGTGATTGTGATACAGGATAGATTCTTTCCATTCCAAGAAAAGGATTCAGACGTTTCTCCCGCTGCAGGGGAAAGATCACTTTGGTAACAGCATTAGTGATTCTTCTCCATTCTAAAATCAAGCCTGGTAAAGGATGCAATGCCTTTAACTTATTTAAAATATCCTGCCAAAGAAATATAATAAGGTAAGATTGAAGTCTTGACCAAATTCCATTTACCTTTCATGTAAATAATACAGCCTCAAAATTAAATTTGATAACTCCTATATCTACAACTCGAAATCACTGTTTGGGTTTTTTGGGAAGATACCAGATTGATAAAAATACAATAACTACAGTTTATAAAATGCAAATGTGGTTATGATGAGCACTACCGATTTAAAGATACCTTTAAAAAAAATCAATAAAGTATCAATTTAGCAAAGTAACTGCCTCCCCACACCCCACCAAGAGTTTATATCATCTCTTTTCTTTATGCATTTTCCTCCTCCAATCCTCACATGATTGGAAGTAGATCAGTTGTTCTCCTTCTTGCCCTAATACTTACATGGTTTTCATATCAAGGAAATCAGAAAACATCTATTTTTAAAACATCTATTTTCAAAATTTTCCATGTTATGAACTTTCAATGAACTATTAAGGAATAGAAATTGTGAGGTTAAAGGGCCATTGAAATCAAATAAAAAGTTGTGCTATAGCCTGGAACTGTGGAAACTTTCCAAGCAGGCAAATCATAGTTAATGGCATAAGGATCAAAATTCTACAGAATGGCAACTTGGATGGCTCTGTGGCTATATTTCCTACATTATTTTTCCATTGAAACTTCAGTAAACATGTAAAAGTTAGCCCTTACTCTCTTCTCTCCCACTAATGCATATAGTTTCCATGGACTGTGATTAGCAATTTTACTCTGAAGTTAGCAGATTAAAATCTTTAAAAAAATTCAAAGAAAATTTACCATATGCCCTGGAACTAGAAATAAAAAAAACAAAAACAAACAAACAAAAAAACTTATTTTTGTTCTGGCTAGTTTTTTTTCCCCTCCTTTTGAAAAATGTCTCCATACCTTTCTCCATGCTTCTCCATGTTAACCATACAAACTAAATTATACTGGAAGTCCAAGAGTAGTTAAATAATGTCTATAGGTCTGAGTTTACCAGTCCTTATACTGTTTTAATGATGGGAACTTTAAATTGGCAGTGCTCAGAATTATCACATGTAGATTTTATAAACTGCAGTTATCACAGTTTTATCAATATGGTGACTTTCAAACTGCTAACTCAGATTATGATCCAGATTTTCCATGCTGAAATGTCTCTTCAAATTTTATAGGCTACCAAACCACAAATTTGTTTGTTGGTATCTAAATAAGTTCAAATGGTAGGCTATGTTGGGTCCTGATTACATCAGCATTCTTTCAAGACACCCAATGCTATGAGTAGTTCAAATTCTTCCCCGTGACTGACCCAAAGAGTACCTTACTAGTGCTGAACTGTCTTCCCAGCCTTAGCTTGCGTCCATTGTCATTTCCTCTTCTAGTAGAACCCAAAGTTTTCTTGCTGCATTGGTTTTTCATCTCTCCATTTGGTGGTAACTTCAATTCCAAAAATAAAACCTGCAAGAAATTAATGCTTCTTTAGTCAAGAACCAAAGTTGGAAGTACTGTCATTCAGAAAAATATTTTCAAAAGTTATTTTAGAAAAAAAATCTCTACAGTTCAACATCGGTTGAAAGAATACTTCTTTAGACAATTTAAAATTATTACATTTAATAAATTATGGCAATGAAAATTTCTATGTCAGGTAAGCTGTCTGTACCCTAATTTCGGTACTATCTGACTACTAACATATGATTTAAACAGTCAGAAACACAGGCATGTATACTCTGTGCTGAGAAACCAGCAAATAAGGTATTGACGTTGAGACTTGAGGTTGCTCTGAGAATTGAGAGCTCTCCTAAATGTGCTTGCTCAGTCATTAAACTCCAAACAGATTCAACATGGACACCTACATAGCTATTGTGTGATCACAAAATCAAAGAACATTAAAGTAGGAAAAGTCTGAAAAGCCGATTAGTATCACCACCACAGTGCTGGACTCTTAAGTCCCTAGGCACAAAAAGTTAGTTGATTTCAACTTTCTTAGATTCCATATATATAAGTAAGATCATGTGATATTTGTCTTTCTGTGCCTGGCTTATTTCACTTAGCACAATGTCTTCCAAGTTCATCCATGTTTTCACAAATGACAGGATACAATTCAAATGTAAAACTGATGTCCTATATTTTATCAGGCAACCCTAGGACAGATATCAAAGGATATATGGATGGGAGGATAGGAGAAAGAAAAATAACTGAATAGGAAAAATAAAACATTATTAGAGTAACATTAAAGCAACAATCTCAGGAAGGGAGACCTATCATGATTAAGACAAAACAAAGATCTCAAATTACATATTTAGAATTTCTTTATCTTAAGCGTCTTCTTTTGGTGAAAACTTCAGAATTAATTGTGAAACTTCATATACAAATTATCTTTCCAGGTAACTTCCATTTTAACATGAAGATCTAAGAACAAGTCAATAGCATCAAGGCCTTTTACTCTAGCCCAGAATTTGGTTGAGGTCTGTGTTTCACATGCTTTAATACCCATCTGAATCACAAGGGCACCATTTCCTGCCTTGCCTCAACCTTAATTGAGATGAAACCAAGAGATTTATATTTTTGATAAGTGCTCTAATGCAATTTTACATATAGTCAGCTAGGTATTAGCTTAGGAACTTCTGGGCAAGAATTCAAAAGAAGATACCAAAAACTAATAAACAAACAAAAAAAGACATCAATGCATTCAATAAAAATGCACGACAGGATAAGGAGAAACAAAGTTTCTCATTTTTCTTTAAAATACATAATTCTATGGCTTAAAGGGGAGTATTTTTATAAAGAGACATAACATTTATTGATCACTAACTATATGATAGCCACTATTCATTATATTTATCATTTTACCTACCCCACAACAGCTCTATGAGGTATTTTTATCATAACCTCCATTTTACTGATGAAGAAATTGATACATCAAGAGTTCATATATTGAAGATCATGGAGCTGGTTAATAAACTGAGGAGGTAAGATTCAAATCTAATAAGTTTGGCTCTAAAGTCTATAATCTTTACCAAGATGCTACATTACAAATCACATATAGAAGACACAAGAACTTCCTGTTGTGAAGTGTAAACACCTACTCTGTGTTTGTGAAACGACACAACTACCCTTAGTAGGGACATAGCGTTAAGGGGAGAGAACAGAAAACCAACATGTGAAATAAAACAAGAGTAGGAGACTTCTGGGAAGATGGCAGCAAAGCCAGTCAAACTATGTGAGTCCCAGTGTGAGTGAGTGAGTGAGCGAGTGAGTGTATAGAAAATTTTGCATACATGTCTGTGAATAAGTGGGCGAGTGAGTGGCTGACTGAGTGGGGACTTGGGAGCAAGTGGCCAGGACTCTCCTGGAGCAGCTGGTGCCACAGCTACTCTGCTTGGACCCTAGCACTTTGCAGGTCCCAGAAACCGAGCACCTATTTTTTTAATCAGCAAAGCCCTTCCCAGGAAGAAAATGCCAGGAGTGACTGCCAACTCCAGGCTCTGCCTCACCATCACAGCACCTGACCAGACTCTGGCAGCAAAGACTGCAGAGGGAGCACAGCTAGAGAGCCCAGAGGAAGAGCTCCACTGGAGAAGACAAAAGAGGCACCCTGATACCATCTTGAAAACTGGGCAGGAAATAGCTCAGCTTACTCATCACCAGCAACAGACCCCTGATCTCTGTGACTGACGGATTAACTACTTAGGTTGATGGTGACTCAGAGGGAATATCCTGAAAGCACAAACGCTGGAAGGACAGGACCACGGGACAAAGGGTGTGACCAGAAAAGGACAAGGAAAACCTCAGAAGAGATCAGCAGTGAGTCTGGGACTGATCCAACCCCTTCCTCCCACCAATCCTCTGAATATCAAACCCAAAAGGCTGGGGCATGACTAAGAGGGATGAACCCAGGGGCAGAATGGAAGTCAGCCATGATGGGAGGACTCTACTCCCCACCAGTACCTGGGGAAGAGACAATCCCTCACCTCCCCACCAGAGGGGATCCCCCTGACCATATGAGAGTGGGAGGGGAGAACTGAAGCCCCACTCGCCCCATGGCATCTTCCTCCTTGCCTAGTTGGACCCTGGGGAGATTGTGAATAAGGCCACAGCTCCACAGGAGACAGCAGAGGGGATTACCTTGGGGCAGCTGAGAGGAACAATTACAGAACCTGCCACAAGAGGGCAGGTTATTTTGCCTGTGTGTGTGTGTGTGTGTGTGTGTGTGTGTGTGTGTGTGTGTGTGTGTGTGTTTTGGGATTTTAATTTTTTCGTGTGTGTGTGTGTGTGTATGTGTGTGTGTGTGTGTGTGTGTGTGTGTGTGTGTGTGTGTGTGTGTGTGTGTGTGTGTTTTGGGATTTTAATTTTTTCTTTTCCTTTGTGCATGAATGTATATGTGAGAGTTCTATCAGCATTACAGAACCTGCCACAAGAGGGCGGGTTATTTTTTGCCTGTGTGTGTGTGTGTGTGTGTGCGTGTGTGTGTGTGTGTGATTTTAATTTTTTCTTTTCCTTTGTGCATGAATGTATATGTGAGAGTTCTATCAGCATACCCCCCCACCACTTTTTATTTTCCTTCTTTTTCTTTTTGATTTCTTCATTTTTCCTTTCATTTTTTGTTTTCTGTTTATGTATGTACATGAATGAGCGAGTGTTCATCTTTCAAGTTTTTTTGTTTTTTCGTTCTTCTCTTTTTTTAGTTTAATTTATGTGTGAATGTATGTGAAAGGATTCAATCTGAATTCCTTTTTTTTCTCTTCTCTTTTGCTTTTTTCATATTGTGTTGGGGGTATGTGGGGGGGGTTGGTTTTCTGTTTTTTGTTTGTTTTGCTTTTTCCCCCCAGTTTCTTTTGGGGTGTGTGTGTGTGTGTGTGTGTGTGTGTGTGTTTGATTCTTTTTTGTTTGGGCTTCTACTTTTGTTTTTCTGTTTTCTTATTTTTGTTCATCTTATTTCATTCTACTTTTCTCTATTCCCATCATTGCTTTTACTGTATCTTAGGTCCAGAGGGTACACATACATACCCACTGCATCATCATATGGAGTGGTGGTAGGGAGTGAGTCTCTGGGAACCCATACCATAATCAGTGAACATTGTGATTTCCAAGTAGTTTCTGAATTCTAGCTCCCTATCCTCCACCTTATACACTCTCAAAACTACAACAGACAGCAAAGCTTCCCACCCATAGCCCTGTTTCAAAATACAACAAATTCAGAGCCCTGACCAGGGAAGAATAGCAGTCTAAGCAAACATCAGAAGTAAAAGCCTCTCCCACTGCCACTGAATAACAGAACTAAAAAGAAAAGAAATAAGTTGGTCACAAATAAGAAAAAAATCAATGTAAGAACACAGGTAATTCCCAGTGTAACAGAGAAAATACCTAAAAAAAAAAAAAAAAATCAAACCTCAGAGCCAAACAATGGAAGTCACCAACAACTGGTCCCAGATTACAACAAAGATTAAGGAATGGATGGAAAGGGTGAATAAGACTCAAGAAAAACAAGATGCAACACTGAAAGAACTTGTAACAGAGATTTTGGCCATAAAAATTTCATCCAGGAAATTAATAACAAGATGAAAAGCATGGAAAGCATAAATAATCAAGCAGAAGAAAGAATCTCAGAACTTGAAGACCAAAACATGGAACTGAAAACTCAGAAAGAACAAAGCTGCCAGGAGATATGCAATTATATCAAAAGGCTGAACCTATGCCTGACTGGCATCCCAGAAGAAGAAAAGGAAATGAAGAACACCTTAGAGCAAGTATTCTAGGAGGTTATCCAAAAAAACTTCCCATCTCATAAGACATGTGACCATCCAAACATAAGAGATACAGATAACCCCCGCCCACAAGATATCAAATGAGACCAACCCCTAGACATACAGTAATTTGTCTACACAACATAGGCACAAAATAAAAAATTCTAAAGGTACCAAGAGAAAAAGGTCGGTCTACCTACTGGGGAAATCAATCAGAATAGCAGCAGACCTATCAGCAGAAACACTACAAGGCAGAAGAGACTGGAGTCCAATATTCAAAGTCCTCAAAGATAAATAATTTCAACCAAGAATTTCCTACCCAGCCAAGCTCAGCTTCATCAGCAATGGTGAATTAAACTCATTCCCAGACATCCAATCCCTAAGAGATTATGCAGTTTCCAGACCAGCTCTACAGGAGATGCTTAAAAAGGTATTAAGCACAGAAGAAAGAAGAAAAAGAATGATCACACACTTCCCTAGAGAAAGGGAGAACATAGAATCAACAGAGAATACATTGCAACAGGAAACTTGAAAACACACACTCAACCAAAAAGTTAAAAGAAAAACTTTAAAGAACCTCATGATGGGGATAAAAAAATCACATTTCAATAATCAGCCTGAATGTGAATGGACTAAATGGACCACTGAAAAGACACAGAATGGCAAAATGAATTAAAAAACCATGACCCAATAATTTGCTGCATCCAGGAAACTCACTTCACCACAAGGAAGGCACACAGACTCAGTGATTTATCACAGAAAAAAAGAACTGAGTACCACATATTCTCACTCATAAGCAGGCCCTGAACATTTACCATTATACTATAAGAAAGGGATTGGCGGCCAGGCTTGGTGGCTCAGCCTATAATCCCAGCACTTTGGGATTGCCTGAGCCTGAGGGTTCGAGATCAGCCCAGGCAACTTGGCGAGAACTCATCCCTACAATAAATAAAAAATTAGCCAGGCATGGTAGCGTGCGCCTATAGTTCCAGCTACTTGGAAGACTGAAGCAGAAGGTTCACTGGAGCCCAGCAGGTTGACGCAGGGGTAGCCGTGAGTGTGCCACTGCACTCCAGAGTGAGACTCCAACTCAAAAAAAAAAAAGGATTGGCAGTAGTTGGGATATTGCTGGGGTGTGGGGAGGGGCACATAACATCAATAAAGGTACCTGATCTCAAACCAGGCAAAGTGGGGACCAAAGAAAGGCCCAAACTTTACCTGTATGATGTCCACTTGTATATCTAATCCTGAATTATACACCACCTTTAAAATAAAAAAATAAATATATATACAAAGTAAACTTTGTGAAAATTTACATAAGGTGGCAAAAATCCTAATTATGTTTAAAAAAGCAAACAGTTATGAAAAAAAATCTCTTTTTTATTTACATCTCAGAAAAACATTCAATTTCCTATTCCAAAGAAAGACACTGGGCTAAGGAAGGGGTGAGGGCTCACAAAATGACTAATATCATGAATAAACAGCTACACTGTCATGTAACTTCCACTATCAATTGCTTGTTCAGCAAATATTTTATGAGTGCCTCCTCTGTTCCAGGCAAATCTCTTCATGGAGTTTACATTCTAGGATGCTTCTTAAGTATCTTTCAATTTCAAAAATATAAATTAGATGCTAGAATATTCCCAAAGCATTCTGTTAACTAGCTGTTCCATTTTACTCATTTTTGGTGTTTAGGTAAACACATTTAGGAAACATACACACACACATACATGCACACACAAATCATGCACACATAAATCATTTTAATGCTAAAAATTACTTTTCTAAATCTCTATTCCTATGATACAACCTCAGCAATGTCATCTGAACTGGTGAAAGAAAAACTGTGGCCAGCCAGTTGATAGGCCTGGGTTTCAATTGCATCCAGCTTAGCTTGCATGATGTGTTTCTGACTTTCACATTCTGCAGCACTAAAGCCAATTCCATTTAGTTCCAGCAAGGCCAAGCAGTACTGAGAGGGCATTTCCACTTTATGGAAAACATCTGGAAGAATAAAGAAAATTATAATGTTAATTCATCAACTAAATGACTAGATCAACAGCATTACCTAAAGTGTACAGAATTTGTCTAGGAAAATCCAGAGATGCTACCCAAGCTATCCTTCAGGATCCAGTCTCCTGAGCAGCATTCTCAAGCCAACAATAATAGGAGTAAAAGTATGGGCTTCTTAACCACTAGACAAATATCCTCGTCTATGCAGAGAATAGAAGAGTTGGCATTCTTGTGTACTGGATTACAAGAGACTACATTTCTCCCAACATGATGATTTTGCTTCTACTCTTAACAGAAGGTAGCCAACCTTATTTGCTTAGCTAACTACAAAGGGTTTATACCTTGAAATTCCTTCTAATACTCCTGATCCCATAGTATGCATGCTTGCACAAGGAACATAGAGGTTTTATATTCTCCAATGTTTTTACCAAATAGTAAAGAAATAAAATTCCTGAAGAATCACTATCTGCTGACATTTCTAAACAGAATAGTCCAATCAGTTTTCTCAGTATGTATGTTCATTAAAATACTAGTCACAAAAGTGCTCTACAGAAAGGGTGGAGCTGAGAAACTGCATGCTGTGAGTTTCTGCAACCACATACTGTTCTTGGATATTCATGATGATAGTTAATTCGGGTTGAGAATCCCTAATCTGAAAATCCAAAATGCTCCAAAATCCCAAACTTTGTAAGCATCAACATGACACAAGTGGGAGACTCCATTCCTGACCTTATGTGACAGATCACAGTCAAATCACAAATGCAGCATACCTAAAGGAAAAAAAGGCCCTCCTATCCACCTTCAGCTTGATAAATCTTTCCTGCCAAACAACCACAGACTGTCCACAAGAGTAGCTAAGACAGTGACACCTTTGATTTCTGATGGTTCAATGTATACGAGCTTTGTTTCACATATAAAATTATTAAATACATTATATAAAATTACCTTTAGTCTATGTGTATAAGGTGTATATGAATTTCACATTTATACTTGGGTCCCATCCCCAATATTCATTACATATCTGCAAATATTCCAAAATCCAAAAAAATTCAAATTCCAAAACATGCCTGGTCACAAGCATTTCAGATAAAGGATATTCAACCTGTATATTAAAGGCTCTGAGAGGACCTAAAGCAAAGACAATGCTTTAATTTTATTTTAACTGAAAGTTCTAAAATCATTTGACTATAAAACCATTTGACAATTTATTTAATATAATACTTATGAATATCCTGAAAAGTAAGCATCCATAGAATGCATTGTGGGAAACGCTGTCCTAAATCATCAAGAAAAAATTCCATACCAAAGACATCAGTTTCCAGTACTATGAGTCACTAGGACTCTGAGCAACTGCAGCCCATTCTCCCCGTTTCCAAAAATACACATTCTTTGGGGCATTGCTGATCTCAATTAGCAGGAGAAATCTCCAAGGACACCCATAACCACCATCAAAAGCAAACAAACAAATGGGAATTGCAAGACTCTAATTACCAGCAGCAGATACTAGGCAGTCAGAGTCTAGCTGTGATAGCCTTGAGGCATCACAGTCATGTGATACAGGACTACAGAAATAAGGAATTTGGGTCAGAGCAGGAACAACCAGAGCAGCACAAAGTAAGAGTGACAGGGAATCTCTAGATTCATAAGCTGTAGGAAGGAGCAGGGTTGTCATGGAAAATGAAGTCCTGCAGCAAAAAGTATAAGGTAACAAAGATCCCTGAAACAGTAACAGGAAGTGGAGCTGAGTCTCAGACTCCTGTTCTGAAACAAAATTCTCAAGAAAGGTTAACATGGTCTTTGGATACTGTGTACTTTGGTAATCAGAGAAAGCAGAAGCAGGTCCTTCTGAAGGAAGGCATACCCTAAGTTAGTCCATTGATAAAATCTTATATGAACTCACAAAGAATATGAAAAATACAAGATAGTTAAGAAGTATGAATAGAACTCAGAAGACACAACCAACACCACATTTAGATTCCCAAGAACTGCAGATAAGGACTCTTGATTCAGAAAAGAACACATCTGTGAATGAACTATTTACAAAACAAAAAGGGAACAGAAACAAAGTAAAAAGCAGAAAAATAGAGTATACGTATATCAATAATTACAACTAGAACTACATCAATAATCACAAAAATTTGGTAAATTTATAAAAAAATTAGTATGCTTGAAAAATAAATAAACTAAACATTGTTTAAAAGATACATCTAAAGATAAGAACCTAGAAAGGTTAAAAGAGATGGAAAAGACACATGAGGCAAATATTAAAAGAAAGTTGATGCTGCCATAATCATATTGGAAAAGAAACTAAGAATAAAAATCATTATTGGTGATAGAAATGGTCACAATATAATGAAAGAAGGTTTAATTCACCAGGAAGAGAAATCGATTTTAAACATGGATGCACCCAATGAAATGGTTGCAAAATATAAAGCAAAAGTTGACAGAAAAGATTAGATATAGAAGATTTAAACAGACATTATATGTCTGTTAAGACAGACAACATTCTGCATCCAGAATAAAAATACACATTCTCTTGTGTACACAGAACAATTTACACAATAGTTCAGATTTTAGGTCACAAAGCAATTCTCAAAAAACAATGAGTATTACACAACCATGTACTTTAACCACAATGCAATTAAGTTTAAAGATAATAATAAAAATTAAAAGTTTCTCGTACTGAAAAGAAGAAAACAAACAACCCCATTATAAAATGGGCAAAAGATATGAACAGACACTTCACAAAAGAAGACAGCGGAGCAGCCAACAAACACATGAAGAAATGTTCAACCTCACTAATCATCAGGGAGATGCAAATCAAAACCACACTCAGATACCACCTAACTCCAGTC